CTACCAGTGGCCTCTCATGAGTTGTTAGGAGATCCTTCTAAACCTGCTCTTATTCCTACTGGTTCTCATGATCATCCAGCTGACTTACTTGGTATTCCAATGGTCTCACATGAGTTGTCAGGAAGTTCTTCCAAGCCTGCTCTTCCTCAGCACACTAACTCTCTTAATATTAAGCATGAGGATTCTTCAAATGCTAATCCTTCTCCTTCTATAAGTTCAAAAGCTAATTCCTCAGAGCATAATGGCATAGCTAATTCACATTCTCCAGTAGCTCCTATCGGTCCTATTGAAGACACATCTGAGCATAATTTGTCTACTTCAGCAGCTTCAGTTCCAACTAGTTTTACCTTTGATTAGGTTTATATTGATTCAACTTCAGCTTTGAATGTACACCCTATGTAACCAGGTCAAAGACTGGTACTCAACCTGTCAAAAGGTATGATGCTTATCCAGCACTGAAAATTTCTGAATGGAGACAAGCTATGGCATTCGAGTATCAAGCCTTATTGAAAAATGAAACATGGGAGTTGGCTCCATATGAAGAAGGAATGAATGTAGTTGGTAGTAAGTAGGTCCTTAAGACCAAATTAAAGTCTGATGGTACCCTTCGAAAATATAAAGCCAAGATAGTAGTCAAAGGCTTCCAGCAGAATCTTGGACTAGACTATTTTGACACCTTCTCACCAGTGGTTAAAGCAGCTACTATTAAGGTAATGATGTCCTTGGCAGTTCATCAAATGTGGGATATTTAGCAGTTGGATGTGAATAATGCATTTCTAAATGGTGAGCTAATAGAAAAAGTCTTCACGTTTCCTCTTGAAGGATACTCTGAGTTTGAATCACATAAACATATTTCACAACAAGTATGCAGATTGCGAAAGGTGTTATATGGCCTTAAGCAAGCTCCTAGAGCTTGGTTTGATAAACTCAAGTTTGTGTTGCTCAATTGGGGCTTTGTTAATTTAGTATCTGACGTTAGCCTCTTCTTTTACAAACAAGACTCTACCATCATGTATTTACTTGCGTATGTAGACAACGTTTTGGTGATTGGAAATGATGATCATCTGATTTCTAAACTAATCGCAGACTTGAATGCTAAGTTTGCTCTGAAGACTTTAAGATCAGTTCAATATTTCCTAGGCTTCAAAGTCAATCGAAATTCCTCTAGTTTGCTTCTCACATAGACCAAATATGCTTAGGATTTACTCATAAAGGCAAGGATGGTTGACTCTAAGCCTTGTTGTACACCAATGGCCGTTGGCCTCGAACTTGGTTCAACAGATATTAAGGTGTTTGATCAACCCACTCTGTATAGAAGCATTGTAGGGGGTTACAATATTTGACTTTGTCTAGGCCAGACCTGGCCTTTGCAGTAAATAAACTTAGTCAATATTTACAGCAATCCACTGAAGTTCATTAAACCGCCTGTAAACATGTTCTAAGATATGTGAAAACAACTCTAAAACATGGTATTCTTTTCATCAGGAAGAAGGTTTTTGCCTTAGAAGCATTTGCCAATGCAGATTGGGCTGGAGATGAAATGGATAGATGGTCCACCAGTGGATACACTGTCTGTTTAGGAGGTAATCTCGTTCAGTGGTCTTCTAGGAAACAAAAAGTAGTCTCCTTATCTTCGACTGAGGTTGAGTATCGGTCACTCAGCTATGTTGCGATTGAAGTAGTATGGATTCAAAACTTGTTTAAGGAACTTGACATTCAAATCAGTAACATCCTAGTGATTTGGTGTGATAATATGAATGCTGGGGCACTCTTATCCAATCCCCTTTTTCATGCTCAGACAAAGCACATTGAAATTGATGTGCACTTTGTCTGAGAGATGGTTACCAGAAAATTGTTGATGGTTCAATATATTGCCTCAGAATATCAATGGCAGATATGTTGACCAAAGCGCTTCCTAGTTCCCAGTTTGCTATGCTTAGGGACAAGTTAAATGTTACATATACTTTACCCAGTGATGACACTAGTGATAATCCTGAGGTATCTAACTAAAGAACTTAGAGATTGTAACTATTAACTAGTTTCATGAAAAGGTGATATGAAGGAACTGTTGCTCTGTTTTTTAGTTCAAATGCTAGAAATGTAGTACTTAAAGAATTAGTAGTGGAAAATTTGAAGATTATTTAATTTACGAGAAGATATTAGTATAAAAAAGTCTGCTTGGTATTGGTAGTTGAAGGCTGTTTAGTTTACGGGAGGATATCAGTATAAAAGTCAGCTTGTTATAGTATAATGTACTGCTGTAATGTGCGCAGGGTTGAGTTTGTAATGTTAGAAATGTAGAAGGGTTGCTTTTGTTAAAAAAATAAAAGAATAACAAAGAAACGATGATGTTTTGCCTTTATGTAATATAACAGAATGTATGTTATCTAGGTCGTCATTTTCAGCTTTGTGACTAACTAATTCAATTCACATGTCTTTGTTGAATTGTTAACCCGCCTTAATTTTCTCTCTATTTTTCTTTCTTGTTCCTCCTAGATTTTTCTTGTTTCTTGATGAAAGCCTTTAGTAGCGTCATAAATCATTTATAAAGAGAAATTAATTGGCTAGGGTTTGGAATCGCAACTTTCTTAAGGAGGGATCGATATACTGCATTATGTGTTATGAATTTGATATGTTATATATGTAAATAGTTGTTTTCTCTTATGGACATCTGTACGTTTAAAAAAAAAAAAGTGGATACGACAAAAAAATACATATAATTCAAATTTTCTCATATTGAAAATAGTAAAATTTTGTTTTTTTAGTGTTTAAGGATTATTTAATTTTAAGTCTTACACCCTAAGAGTTTTTGTATATATAACAATTGTTTTCTTTGACCAGCACTATGGGATAAGAAGAGGCCCTTTACCTGGTTCGAATTTATGATAGATTCAAACATAATTTCATTTTTCTTAGTGTTCAACATACGAATATGGAATAAGAATATGAGACATTTTTCTCATTCCTATTATATTTTAGATATTATTATTTTTCCTTTATTATAAATTGTATCATTATTGTAATATTTTATATTTACCACACTTTTGTATAAATAGGTTGTATATTCACATACAATTCACGATAACTCAATACAACTCAATATAATTAAATTGAATTCATCTAAGGTATCTCTCAAGCATATTCCAACTCTTTCAGTTGTCTCTCTTACCCTCTTAAAAATATCTCTCTCAATTTTGATATGGTACCAAAGCTTTGACAATTCTAACACTTATAGCTATCTTTAAAATACATGTTAAAACTTTGAATTGACGATACGGTCTTAATTAGTAATAAAGTATAAAATTTGGATATCTTGATCAATATGAGTTTACATGTATGGATTTATATTATTTATACGAGTCAAAGAATCTCTGATTATATATCCTCTTAATCATTAGCTATATTAATTAATCATATCGTTCTGTTTCCTTCAAACTAAGAAAATCTTAATGTTAAGTCTAGTATGACGTTACAGGAAAGTACATAACTTGAAGTACCAGAATTCTCTAAATAGTGTTCTTATAGTTATTTCCTTAAGGTCATCCATTGATTGAATATCTTGCGATCAGAATTATTTGTAGGATTGACAAGATAACATTTTCTATTGATAATGGATGCATCAGGCCTACCGAATTCCATAGCTTTTTGAAATAGTCTTCTTCGCCACAAAATTACAGACCTTGGATGCGTGACTTTTTCATATTAAGAGAATTAGTTATTTCTATAGATTGTTTGAGATTGGATAAAACGAGGAAAAAGAAAATTAACCTTTAGCCCTTTATTGAAATTTTTATCAAACAGACTTTGGAAAAACATAAACTGTATATTCTGAATGAGGTCAACTTTAATCAACTAAAAATTATTATCCATTGAACTATTCACTGATTCAAGAGATTTAACTATCCAAATTAATGGTTATTTTTCTTCCCTTTCTACTATAATTACCGTCCATACTAAAAATATTTTTTGTGACTTCACTGAGTCCTTTTCTTTAGTAACACTAACTCAAGCCTTTTTTTAAGAAGATAATAGCAGATGGTACCAACTACTATTTGATTGCTGATAAGTCAAAAAAATCAGCTCATCATTTAATAAATTAAGCTTTAATAAGAGAAGCAAAATTGAAGAGTCAATAAATCACTATTGTGACGGGGTACTTAAGTTCTCAGGACAAATATTAATTGATTGTGAATTTACATCTCCTTAAGTTGGTAATATACGCTTGTATTAACCCTAAATGGTTGAACTAATAGTTAAAAGAGGATTGCTTATTCTTTGAGTTTTCAGACTTTGAAACCACCTGCCACAAATTCAACCATTAGTTATTACATAAACTTCATTGAGTGAGAGAACTTAATTATATTTTGAAACCCTTTCTTTTTCTTCTTTATGATCATAAGTTAATAAACTAACAATAATTATGTCAATACGTAATCAATGGAAAATGATTAAAGGATTTAGCAAAAACTCGATGTGTATGTTCTAATTTCAGTCATTTTGAATATAGGTTAACACCTCAGTTGAATAATGTAAGAAATATTCAAAAAATTGAAGGGGAAATTTTTCTCCATAAATTAGTCATAATTGAATCCTTCGAAAAAATGAAAGGGAAAACAAATATAATCAGCTCTTTTTATTTTAAAAATAAAATTTTGCGCATGCCATGTTCTCTTTTTTGTTCTCTAATGACCACCACGGCCTTTTGTTTTATTGCCCAAAGTGGAGCAAATCTTGTATGTAAAACGCTGCGTTGTATCTCGGTAGTATTTAATGACTGCAAATACTCATCAATCTAAAGTCTTCGAAAGCTGCTTCAAGTGGCATAAACTTTGACAAAGTCATTCATGTAAAATAAAGAAATAAAAATCGCTAAGTCAATGCCTATAAAGCTGCTAGCAAAAAGCCTATAACAGAAACTTTAGCTTTGCCATTAAGAGCACCATTGCACATTTGCACTCATATAACTTTATATCTTTATCTTCTCTGACTAAATTAAACTTCCTGTTATCTCTCTTTAGAGGTAAACATGCAAAACCAAGTGAGGTTCTCCAGTTGCAGAGGTGTGGCATTTGAGATCAAACCTCATGCAGATCCATTTGCCATCACTACGGCAGCAGAGCCCAACAGCAGCAAGAGATTCTGGCCTTCATGGAATATTTATGGTAACTCCTCCATAGTGTTCCCTTCTTCGATACAGAAATCCATGAGCCGAGCCAGTAGCCACTTCTGTGACCTTGACCTTGATGTAGAAGACGGTGATAGTGATGATGAAAGCGATATCACTCTGAAGAATTTAGAAAAAGGGAAGAACGAGGAGAGAGATCACCACAAGCCAATCATTCCATCCGCCACTAAACGTGAGCAACCATCAAAGGCTGCACGAAAGCAAGAATCAAGGTTGTCGGTAATTTTGCTTGATCAAGGGTTGTTCACGGTTTACAAGCGACTCTTTGCAGTTTGCTTAATCCTGAACATTACTGGCTTGGTTCTTGCAATCACTGGTCATTTCCCGTATGCCAGAAATAGAGCTTCCCTTTTTTCCATCTTAAATATTCTTGCTTTGACACTATGCAGAAGCGAAGCCTTCTTGCGAATTGTTTTTTGGCTCGCAGTCAAAACATTGGGGAGGTCTTGGGTTCCTCTCCCAATAAAAACCGCTACCACTTCTTTGCTTCAGAGTCTTGGAGGTATTCATAGCGGTTGTGGCGTTTCATCAGTTTTCTGGCTTATTTATGCTTTAATCCTCACGCTCAAAGACAGAGAAAACACTTCTCCTGAGATCATAGGCGTGGCCAGTGCTATTCTTTCTCTTCTCTGTCTTTCCTCATTGGCTGCATTCCCTCTTTTTCGTCATCTCCATCACAATGTATTCGAAAGGATTCATAGGTTTGCAGGATGGACTGCGCTTGGTCTCCTGTGGGCATTTGTTATCCTTACAATCTCTTATGACCCGAAAATCAAATCCTACACAAGTGAACTTGGTTCAAGGCTTATCAAACAACAAGAATTCTGGTTCACCGCAGCCATCACGGTACTAATAATCATCCCATGGTTGACAGTGAGGCGCGTACCCGTTAAGGTCTCTGCTCCTTCAGGTCATGCCTCTATCATTAAGTTTGAAGGGGGAATCAAAGCCGGTATACTGGGAAGGATAAGTCCATCCCCATTTTCTGAATGGCACGCTTTTGGTATTATTTCTGATGGAAAAACAGAACACGTGATGCTCGCAGGTGCTGCTGGTGACTTCACGAAGTCCTTATTGTCAAACCCGCCAAGCCATCTGTGGGTTCGCCAGGTGCACTTTGCCGGTCTGCCTTATCTAACTAACATGTACGATAGGGTTCTGCTGGTTGCAACAGGTTCAGGGATTTGCGTGTTTTTGTCATTCTTGTTGCAGCCTTGTAGAGCTAGTGTGTCTTTGGTTTGGGTGACTAAAGGGATTGAACAAAACTTTGGTAAAGAAATTACGCAGATGGTAAGTAGGCATCCCAAAGACAAGGTGATAGTGCATGACACCGCTCTATTTGGTCGTCCAAATGTGTCTCAAATGAGTGTAGATGCCGCTAAAAGATGGGGAGCTGAAGTAGTCATTGTTACAAGCAATCCAGAAGGAAGCAGAGATGTTGTCAATGCGTGCAAGTCAGCAGGAATTCCAGCTTTCGGTCCCATTTGGGACTCTTAATTTTATTATCCCTTTGGCAATTATATTTTACTAAATTTTTATTCTAGAGCGCAGTAACTGCAGAATTTCTGCGCTACATTTTTTTTAGGTTGTGTGATTATATAACTAATCTGACTTTTAAATGCAATTGTGTGAAGCTGATGTAAAGTCAGGTCAAAATAGTTCATTTAATAGAGACTTGACCCCGCAGTGCAGTAACCATCGTCTTCTTTTTTATATATTTTTATTTTTTGGGCCTATATAATAGACCTGTTCTATGTATCAGAGTGCTAAAACCGATAAATATTCCGATCCTTGATTTACTTGAATATGTTATATACCATGGTTTCATCTTCCTTAATTCTTTGATATATGTTGCCCTAAATATCAATTGGGGGTGTTTGTTTTAGTATTTTAGATAGTACTTTTAATAAAAGTAAGAGTTTAGTGGTAATAACGAGATAAAATTTAAAAATTAACATAAACACCTCCTAAGTTTATTAATTTATTAAACACTCTTGTAATAAAAACATTATAAAAACACCTATACTCACCTATTAAATACCAGCAGTCAGCCACCACCGTCGAAGGATGGCCAGAGTCTTCGTATCGACGCACAACCAGTTAATTTGGTTAGTTGTGCGCCAAGATGTCATTTTCTAGCCAAATTCACTGTGGATCTGATTAAAAAAGACTAGATTTACGGCTAGATCTGGTCATTAACGGTCAAATGTAGCCGCGTTTGGTCGTCAACGACAGCCAAAGATATGGCCATCGTTGATGGTCAACGACGGTCATATCTTGGTTGTCATTAACGACTAGCTACGACCAACAACCAGATCTTTGGCCGTAGATCTGACATTTTCTTGCCAAATTCAATTGGTAGTGCAGCATTATACTAGATTCTAACCACCTTCCGGCAGTGGTGATCGAAATCTAGCAAATGTGGGTGAATGAGGGTATTTTTGTCAAATTCTAAACTTTTTGAGGTGTTTAGTGAACTTAACAAACTTAAGGGGTTTAAAAATAATTAAATAAAATATAGTATTTTCATAATAGGAAAACAAATGTGTATTTTGAAAATGATAGGAATATGAGAGAAAATTTAGCTGCGCGGTCCCCCCAAGTATGTATTTAAGAAAATGGCCTTGAAACTGTTCATCAAAT